CTGCTCCCGCCCCATGCCCTAAGCAAAGCAAAGAGAGAGAGAAACAAAAAAAAACAAGAAGAAGCAGAAGCGACTCGGAGGACCGAAGGTTCGGAGCTTTTCGCGGCGGTGGAGGCACTTGCACCCGGTCCAGGGATCACGTGCCGGACTGCCTTTGCCAGCAGGATGTGCTCCGCAGCTACGACGGGGCTTCTGAGGGTGCCGAACCCCGAAACCCTTGGGCGGCATCGCTGCCTCCAATGGCGAGCCGGCGGAAGGAGAGCGCAGCCAATTCAGCTCGAAGGCCAGTGCAGACCGTGCTTGCAAGGGTGTCTCTGTGCAAGCGCTGAGGCCGTCGTCGTTGCCCCCTGTGGTCCCGGAGCTCGAGATCGAAATCGGAGGTGTGCTTTTGCAGTGCACAACACAAGCTCAAAGTGCGAACGAGCAAGTTTGAAATCACCAGGTGACTCTGCGCCATTGCCACCTTTGCCCTGCAAGCTGTGGCCAAGAAAGCCCGAGGCACCCCTTGTTGGAGCCTCAACATCGAAGCTCACTTTCAGCCTTAGAGACCTTTTCGAAGGGCCTCCGCCCTCTTATGGAGGTCATCTCGGATGCCTCTGCTGCTTCCGGGCCGGAGTCCTTAGAGCCAGAGGCAGCTCGGCGGGCCCGTAGCGCCAGCTGATCACGGTTCTGGAGTGTAGCGTCTTGCTGAAGGCCACTGTTACAAGGGAGCAAGCAGACGATGGTGGCTTTGATCTGCCGGCTCCCACGGAAGAGGCACGTGTGCACGGCGAGTTTCTCTGCCTCCCTCTGTGGAATGTTCGCATTCTGCAATGACCTGGGAAGGCCGGCAACACTGGAGCCAACGATGAGGCACAGGATTGCATCTTGGAGAGCTCATGTGTTACAAGTGGGCGCAACCCAGAACCAGAAAATATGCAAGCTCATATATGGGGTGTCTTGAATGATTCGGCTACCCGTGCCTGGCATTTGGGCTATTGGCTTTGCAATTCTCGCTGGTGGACCTTGCGAAAAATCTTGCAAACACCTGCGCCACACGACTGTGGCCCGAACGGTGCTTGCAATTGCCCTTGCCCGTAGCCTGCTGGTTTGGGGTTGGGGTTGCTCCCTGGTGGGCCTTGCAACAAGGCCTTGCAAGCACATGTACCACGGAACTGCATGCTGAATGGTGCCGGCAACCGTGTTTGGGGTTGTTCACTGATGGATCAGGCGAAAAGTCTTGCATACGCCTTGTACCACAGGACAGTGTCCTGAATGGTGCTGGCATGTGCTGGCAGCCTTGCACGGCGTTTTGAATTTTGGGCCCTGCAAAATGCTATGAAACTCTCGTACCGCAGGACAGTGCCTTGAGATACACAGGCAACCGTGTGTGGCTTTGTGATTGTGGGTTTGGGTTGCTCATTGGTTGCGAACAAGTCCTACACACGTTCGTGTCACAATTTTCCCTAATGGTCCTGCCATGTCCTGCCAACCGCGTTTGGCTGCTCCTTGGGCCTTGCAAAACGTCTTGCAAACATTTCCGTCACAAGACTGTGTCCTGAAGGTTGCTGGAAACGATGCTCGCCAAGCCTCGTACTTCGGTAGTAGCTAGTCCTTTGTGGGTATGCAAGTAGCAAGGCGCTCCCGGCGGGTTGCAGATCGAACGGTGGACCAGCCAAAGCATTGCGAGCTTGCATACTCATTTCCTCTTCAAACCATGGGCACCGAATATGCCCGCTTGCCAGATCGCCCGTCATATGCCCTGTCTCCCTGTGCACTGGCCCCACTTCTCCCGCCTTCATGAGTGTGTCGTGCTAGCATGCTTGTTGCTTGGCTGCACCAGCTAGTCTTCCCCCGCTTACTGTGTGACGGAAGGGGACGGGTGGGGGCCCCTCTGACAAGTTGAAAGGGACATGGGCAGCAGACCGCACAGTAGCTGAACGAATAGGATCAGAGCTTACAGGAAATACCAATTTCGCAGGGAGGTGAAGCGAAGTTGCAGTGGCTGGCGCGAGGGTCCAACGTTTGCGCACGTTTCTGTTTTTCCCGGTTTCGTGGGCGAAGTTGAGGCGGAGGCAACTTGCATTAGGGCCTGGGCGACCCCATTCGGCAAAAGAGCGTTGTTTGTCGGATCCAAAAAGTTCTTCGGCATCAGGCAGGGCGAAAAGCGCGTCAGTCGCAAAGGCCACAGTTTGAGGAGAAACGGGGGAGTAAGGAAATTCGATTGGCTGGAAAGCAAGTTACTTCATCGAGCAAAGCTGTCACAGGAACTGTTTTCCGCGTGGTCGTGTCTGGAAAATCGAAAAGTGTCCTGTATGGTTACGACAGCGTGTCCTGTTGAAGGAGCTGTCAACGTGCCGACGGGACCTTGTCGCAGCACAGCAGCGGCTGCAGGAACCTGAAGCTCAGAGTAAGCAGCTTGCTGGAACAACACGTATATGATTCTTGCTGCTACTTCTGCGACTGCTACTGCTACTGCTACTGGTGCTACCGCTACTACTAGTATAATAATCATAATAATAATTATTATTACTACTACTACTGCTACTACTACCTGCTACTACTACTACTACTACTACTACTACTACTACTACTGCTACCACTACTACTACTACTACTACTACTACTACTACTACAAAAACTACTACTACTGCTACTACTGCTACTGCTGCTGCTACTACTACTACTACTACTACTACTACTACTACGAGCTACTACTACCCTACTACTAATACTACTACTACTACTACTACTACTACTACTACGACTCATAGTACTGCTTCTACTACCTGCTACTACGACTACTACTACTACTACTACTACTACTACTACGACTACTACTGTTACTACTACTGCTACTGCTGC